GGGGGGGGGGGGGGGACTACCATATTTGGTGGTAAAAATTTTCAAAAATACGCACTAAAACCAATTTTAATCTCTTTACCTTCGCTACTTTTGCTTTCCACATGCCAACAAAACTAGCTTCTTAGCACATACATAGCATATGCTTTATAAAATACTTAAAAAAATGGACCTAAACAATATTGGAGCGACAACAATTTTGGAAAGTTTCTCTGGAAATTTTTCTCACTTGATGAAAAACTTTTTCATCTCTTTTTTTCTTTTCTTTTTTCCACATTATTGTACGTTGGAACAGCACTATAGTATCAATAGTATTTGTGCAAGCAATTGAGCGTATATTTCCTCCTAAGTTGGTAAAATTCCACCATTCCGATAAACCTTGGGTAACTCCAGCCATTAAAACCCTCATAAGAGATCGTCAGAAAGCATTCCATAGCAGGAATAATCCCCTTTGGCTCTCACTAAGACGCAAGGTCCAATATGAAATAAGGGAAAGAAAAAAGTCTTTTTATAAGAACAAAGTCCAGCACCTAAGAAACACTGACAGTCGTAGATGGTGGAAAATGGTCAACAAAATGTCCGGTAAACCTGAGAAAACAAAATCTTTCTCTTTAGAACGTAACGGGGAAACTTTGAACGACGAACAACTAGCAAGTGCCCTTAATGAATTTTACGTCTCTGTGAACGCCGATATTCCGACATTTGATGTAAATTTACTGCCCGCATTCTTACCGGCTAACGACGCCTTTTTATCCGTTGAACCTTACGAAGTCTGTCAAAAATTATTGGCTCTTCAACCTTATAAAGTAACAGGACCTGATAATGTACCAAGTCGATTTATGAAAAATGGCAAAAGTCGCTAAAAATGGACGAAAAGTTAAGGCGATAGCCTTACTTTTTTTTCTGTTTTTTTGCCCATTTATGAAAAATGGCAAAAGTCGCTAAAAATGGACGAAAAGTTAAGGCGATAGCCTTACTTTTTTGCTGTTTTTTGCCCATTTATGAAAAATGGCAAAAGTCGCTAAAAATAGACGAAAAGTTAGGAAAAAGGGACAAAAAATAGGAAAAAAGGAAGGGTATAGCCTTTACTTTTCGTCGATTTTTAGGCAGTTATTCCACTTTTGAAAAGGGAACAAAAAATGGGAAAAAAGTAAGGCTATAGCCTCTATTTTTCGTCCATCTTTAGGCAGTTTTTCCACTTTTGAAAAAGGAACAAAAAATGGGAAAAAGTACGACTATAGCCTCTAGTTTTCGTCCATTTTTAGGCAGCTTTTCCACTTTTGAAAAGGGAACAAAAAATGGGGAAAAAGTAAGGCTATAGCTTATATTTTTCGTAGATTTTAAGGTAGTTTTTCTATTTTTGAAAAAGGGACAAAAAATAAAACAATTGTGAGGCTATATCGACGAAGAGGAGACTAAAAAAAAAAACAAAAAAAAAAAACACTTGTAACTGTTCGTCCTGTTTTTCAATTTTGGAAAAACTGGCGATGAAAAAGCAAAGTCGAAGAGGTTAGAATTTCCGAAAAAAGTTTGGCCATTCACCGGATATTGATTGAGAGCTCATAAATTAGAGGTGTGCAAATCAGATCCAAATCGCAACCCGATTCATTCGGCTTTTAAACATCAGCCAATTATCGGGTTATAAACGTCTAATCCGATCCGATGCACACCTGTAGCACAGATAGTGTGCAGACTGGAGTGTGGTTTCTTAAAAAACCTTTATTGTAAAAATAATTATATACAGATACGCAAGATAAACAACTACATATATATTAGCAGCTTTGTCTATGACTATGTATATTAAAGATCTTCATATGTCAGTGAATATTCAGGTTTCTTAAGTTTCTTAGCAGGGTGCGAATTAATAAATTTTCTGCCCTACAATTAATTACCTACTAACTACAATTTTGGACAACAAATGTTTTCTTCTAAAATTCAATTTAAATTTCACTTTGTGATTGAAATTATTTTAAGCAGTTTAATTTTTGTGTCTCCACTTTCAGAGAAAGCCATTTGCCTTCGTCATGGGATTCTGGGACTTAACACCCAATTAAAACAAATTCTTCCATTATACAGGGTGTATCAAAAAAAACTGAACAGATTTGAAATTGCTCTCAATTTCGCAAAACACCTATTTGTATCTGGTTTTTTATATATATAGCTTCTTTGGGTACTTATAATGTAAAATATTGAAAAAAATTTCTCGATCTCAAATTTTGTGAACCAGGGGGGGTGTGTCTTTTGCAACAAACTAAAAATGGCTCGCGCACAAAATTTAAAAGCTATAATCATATTTTGAGTTAATAGATTGAACATTTGTCGGGTTTTTAATTACTGTACAAAATTTCAGCCAATTTGGTTTAGTTTAAGCCCTTTAACTATTCATTTTGTTCTAAAAAGTCAGCCTTTCGCATGCTTAATTAATGCCTTTACCTAATTTGCATATTGCTGACATATGCAAATTAGGCAAATGCATTAATTAAGCATGCAAATAGCTGATTTTTCGGGAAAATTGTAACTTTGCGTGAATAGTTAAGGGGCTTAAACTAAACCAAATTGTCTGAAATTTTGTACAGTAATTAAAATCCGGACAAATTTTCCATCTGTTATCTCAAAATATGATTGCAGCTTTTAAATTTTGTGCGCGAGCCATTTTTATTTTGTTGGAAAAGACACACCCCCTGGTTCACAAAATTTAAGTTCGAGAAATTTTTTTTATTATTTTACATTATAAGTACCCAAAGAAGCTACATATATAAAAAAAACAGCTACAAATAGCTGTTTTTCGAAATTGAGAGCAATTTTAAATCTGTTCAGTTTTTTTTGATACACCCTGTAGTGCAGGACGCCAACTTTTTGGCATACAAAATCCATGGAAATTTGTTGGTTTTTCGCACCCTACTCTACATAACTAGAGCTGCTACCATCGGTTAATTTTCGTAATCAATTAATTGTTGTCAACAATCGATTAATATTGATTTAATCGTATTGATATAGTTAATTTAAATATGACAAGCCCACGGTGGTTTGACAGGTTTGTAAATTGTAATTAAACTTTACTGGATAAATTGGTTTATATTAAATATCTTTAATGCAAAACCAGGATTATTTGTACTGAAAACTATAGGCATTCTCTGGTTATAATATTATTTTTTACAAGCTTTCGACTGTCAGTCTACAGATCAACAGGTACATTAATCTACCCGTTGAAGACTGTAAACTGACTGTCGAAAGCTTGTGAAAAATAAATATAAAAACCAGAGAATGTCTATAGTTTTCCAAATTGGTTTATGTTGGACGCAAATGGTAATAAATTGTTTTAATAAAAAAAACTTTAAAGATATTTTTGCAGCACAGGTAACCCGATTGATATTTGACCCACAATGTTTTGAATCAATTTGTCATTTAATGTTTCAATCAGAATCTTGAAATATTTTTTAATCCAGAAAGAAATTAACTCATTCGAGCATCACGCTGTGTGGTGTTGTAGATGATCCTATTACTGTTAAGCAAAATCGATTGTGGAAAAATAATCGATTGATCGATTAATTGGGAGCAGCTCTATACATAACCATTAAAAAAAAGTTGTAAAATTCTACCCATAAATCACATGAGTAGGAAAATCTGGCACTTAACAACATCCATCACACAGCAGACTCTTCCCTGTCGACATAAGGTGGGGGTGGTTCATTAGGTGGGGTTTTTGTCCGAGCTCCATTTACACACCGAGGTTCAGCTGAGTAAGGAGGGGGTAATTCGACACGTCCTTCAGCAATGCTTTCTGCATTTGTTGGCAGTACTTCTAAAAAATTATTTTATAACAGTTAATAAAACGATTAAAATGCGAAAAGTCATTGTGCTCGGTGTGCAACAAGCAGCAAAGTCTAGTTATAATGTTGGGGGCAGGTGTCAATTGGGACGCAAGTCCTGTTCCTTTCCCCAGTCACACTTATGTCCTCTGTTTATTGTAGATGTATGCGTAATGATTGTGTTGTGACAAATGATTAAATTAAATTAAAATAATCAATCATAAAAAATTAACCCATCGACTGGCATCCCCCCTTTGTTGACCCTAGGGTTGTTTGTTGACCCTAGGGTTGTTTGTTGACCCTAGGGTTGTTTGTTGACTGTAGGGTTGTCTGTTGACTCTAGGGTTGTTTAAACCAGGTTGGGGCACTTTATGTATTTTTCAAAAATTTCCTGTGGTGCCCCCTTCCTGACCCTAGGGGATGCCTGTGGCCCCCACTATGCACATGACCAAAAATTTTCAAACCAGGTTGGAGTGTGTTGGGGCACTTCATGAATTTCAAAAAAATTCCTGTGGTCCTGTTGCTGACCCTAAGGGATGCCTGTGGTCCCCCCCTATGCATGTGACCAAAACTTTTCAAAACATGTTTTTATCAGTCGAAAGTGTTGTTTTGATGAGAGAAATGGTTTTCGAGAATTTCCAGAAAGTTTGGAGTGCATTCCAGGAGAACTTCTTGAATTTTTGGAAAATTTTCTGTGGCTGCCCCTCTGCCAACTCTAGGGATGCCTGGTCATTGATCAGTAGTTAACTTGATCAGGCCTGGTGTACTGTAAACCTTAAATAAACCTGAATTAATGAAATGATGAAAAAGAAACTCACCAGGAGAGGTTGTTGTTGTTGTTGTTGTCGTTGTTGATTGTTCTGTAACTGATTGAGTTTTTGTCACTTTGTCGTGTTCTTCCTGTGATCTCTTAATTCCTTGACGTCGACAATATAACACTAAGATTAAAATGATCAGCAAAAGAACGAGTCCTGTGCCTAATGAAAACAGCACAGCTAATTCTGTTTTGTCTGATAAGCCATTATCTGGAAAAAAATAAAGTATTAGGGAAAAAATGTATTCCACATATCATATTTGTTTTAGAGGATGATTTGGCATTAAATGTACTGTTAAAACAAAAACTGCTAAAAGGAAATACAGGTCCCACCTTGCAAACACTCAAATTCGCAGCACGTTCCTTCAACAGGTCTATAGTCCCCACATTCTGGTAACTGGGGACATTTTTCAAAGAAACAACCAACAGCTTTTCCTGCTAAACATTGACATTTCTCACAAATATCTTTTCCAGAGGGAGTAAAGTATTGCCCATGTGATACTTCCTGTTGCAAGCTGCTCTGACATACACCTAAAAATGTCAATATTTCATTAAGGTTTTGAAGAAACAATAAATTACAACTTGAAATAGTTTTCAGGTAAATGAGGTGTTTAAACCATTGAGGGCCAGTGCTCTTCCCTTGATGAGGAAACTTGTTTAAGACAGAGTAAAATAATACAGTAGGGTGCATTGGTGCACAATGCAACTTAATGGGTTAAATAGGTATATGGACAGGCAGTCTGACTAACCCATTAAGCACCAACATTCTCCCTTTGACTAGTGAAAAAGTGTTTGTAATAGGCCAAATAAAAATAATAGTTGGTTTCAGGTTTCCGACCGACCTGTCAAAATATGACCGACCATAAACATTTTATTGACATTTCCCAGTAGAGATCATCTTTTCGTAAATAGCAGAATATATAAATAGTCATCAGACTCATTTGTCTACAAATTATGTTGTTTGCAAGCTTATAATTTAATAATCATAGTTTAATAGTCATAGTTTTACACAAAGAACAGTTGAATAAAATATTAAAAACGTACATTATTGTGACATGGCAGCTACTGCTGAAAAAAGACGAAAACGCCTTGATGCATTTCAGTAATGTAGCTCGCGGGTGATCCCGTTATTGCATATGAGATAAAATATATTTTTAAATAAAACGTTTTTCCGACCTACCTACCCATATAAAACATGGCTGTCAAACCTGAAACCAACTATTATTTTTTTTGGCCTTAGACAGAGTATAAAAAAATAATAATAAAAATAGGATGCAACTTAATTAATGCCAAGGCAAAAAAAACAATATTTAAATGCCAACTCAAAAACAATGAGACGTTGGGTTTTAACCATTAGGGTGGGTTCACTACAAAATTTTTGTAGTTCGCTATAACTACAGCTACTTCAAAAATATGTAGTCAGCTACAACTACTGCTACTTTTGAACAAAGGTAGTTCGCTACTGACTACAGCTACTGCTTAAAAAATGTAGCGAACTATTTCGCTATTTTGCTATGCTATATTTTTTAGTTTCACTGTATTTGGAGCATCTACTAACTCAGGCTGTAACGTAACCTATAACAAATCGACTTACGAGTAGCAACAGTAAACACAAAGCAACATTTTTGTAAGCAGTACAGTGTTCAGGAGTGCAAATTGACAATTGAGTATTGATTTTAAGCAAACCGTGTCTCAATATCATGCTATTCTATCAAATTGCTAACAATTTAAAAAGTAGCGAATAGCAATTCGCTGTTTGAAAAGTAGTCAACTACTTGGCTACCTTTAGGCAAAATGTAGTTCGCTATAACCAAAGCTACTATTTTTAAAAAGTAGTCAAAAACTACTGGCACCCACCCTTGGTTTTAACTTATGTCATGTTCATGAAAACAAGGCTCTATAGCTAACACCCTTTCTGGAAGGGTGTATTAAACTACTGAGCACAAAGCCTTCATATAATTTAAAATGATTAAGATCACATTTATATTCATGTTGCCATGCATATGTCAGACAGCAGACATGTGAGTGGGTGTCAACCTGTTGACTTGTGGCAATCCAGCTGGTTGTTATAAACTTGTCCTAATTTGTATTGCAGGCTATGACAAAACATCTGAACAACTCGAGAACTAACATACTACAGTTAGGAATTAAACATATACCTGCTTTAGACATTATGTTCTTTAAGGTTTCCTTAAAAAGAAAAGATACACATTTTATTTCACAGAATATCTTCAGCATTAGCCATTTCCTTTCCTAGTTCAGGAGTATAATAATGTAGACAGAGTGCATTGGGAATACATTGTGGCTAAATTATACTAGGGTTAAACAAAATCAATTTAACAACGTGCACCTTTTAAGAAAAGTCCCTATGATTCCCAGGAAATGATAGTCTGAATGAATAAATACTTTATTTTGCCTTCCTTATCAATAGAGACACTTCCCAAAATTGCTAGTTAGCAATGAAAAATACTTATATTTACAACAGATGAAAATGTCGGACCTTATCAGTGATCACAAGCTCATGTTTCATGGCGCTCAAGCAAATTGGGGAAGTTTTTATTATTTTAATGTGAATAACAAGACAAAGTTAATTCAAAGTGGTTCATATGTCAACAATGTATTTACTCAAGCATAAATATTTTTATAGCAATAAAAGAGGTCACCTTTTCAGAGCAAAATATAAACATAAAACATGAGCAAAATATTCAACGCATGTCATAATATTACAGAATTCTTCGATACAATTGAATCAGGTCACATCAATTGAATCCTCTCAGACACAAACGAGACACAAATATTCAAATTATGGAGTGGGGAAAATTCAAATAATACTTACTAAAAGGCAAACGTTTCTTACCGAGTTTATCTTCACAATATATTCAATATTTTACCACCATATAGGAAATTGAACTGGCTATCAGCCAGAATTCGTTGATTCATAAAACTTATTAATCTGTCATCGACTTATCAGGCATGTTTCAGTATAGAGGCAAATATTTTTTAAGAGAACAGATATTTTGAAGAGATAAGATATTCTATAAACAGTTTAGTGTATAAAACGGTAACTAAGTAACCAAGGGCAAATACTGGGTACAATTGAATACAAAAACCTAACAGAACTTGTTCTTTAAATTGAAAATTACTAAATTAGAAAGCTAACATATGGAGAAATTTGATACATCAACTTTGTGACTGGCATGTGCTTCGCATGTTTACTTGGAGTTTCATAAGTATGTGGTCAGGAAACGACAGCTACACACAACAATAACAACAATAGTCCTTTAATAGGAAACAGAAAAAATGAGATGGGGGAACAAAGACAGTAACTATAAAATACATGTATTTTTGAGAGAACAAGGCACGTCACTGTAATAGTGAGTGACCCAGGGTCGTGGGCCACAAGATCAGTTTGTCAACATGTTGTTTCTTACAAAAATACATACATTGTCCTGTTAAACTTAAAGAACGAAACCACTCACCTCTCGAACAAGAAAGAACTTCAAGCACACAGAGTAATTTTGTGAACATGTTTACACGCCATTTGAGCGCTTTACGAAAGATAATTAATAACTTATGACATTAATTATGCTAATATATTCAGTACCTGTTTTGGTTGCCTTGGAGGTGAAGAAAAACAACTTGACTTTCGAAATGAGATGAAGAGTTGATAAACACTTTCAAATGCGACAAGATTACACTCACAGACGAGATTGTTATCTAAAATATCTCACGACATTTCTTATTCATTTCATTTGATTTCCGCTGTCGATGACCTTTGCGCCTCCGTATTTTTTGGCAGTATTTTTTTTGCGCAAAAACCCCTCAATGCCTCAAATGAGTTTCAAATAAACAAAAGATAAACTTTCCAAAGGCAGAGTATAATAAAAATACAGTGAAAAAGTTAAGTACTGTAAAATACTCATAATGAAAGCTTGTCTAATGTCTATAATTGGCATTGAGTGGGAGCCTGTCAGACAGTTTGAGCCCCCCTATGGCGACTGTATTTAAAAATATACGATATTACTCATATTATTTCATCAAGCGGCGTCCTTTTACGCTTGATAAAATATTCACAACACTCACTTCACAGAAACGTGCGCAAAATATTAAATACACTTTCTATTGCTAATGGCAACAGAATAATCGAGAAGAACTCGACACAAAATAATGAATAATAAGTAAACGCGCTACCTAGATACAGGGGTTGAAATTAATAAAAAAATTCCCAAGTGCCCATCAGTGGATAAGATCTGCTCGCCATATCTTATATCACCTTGATAACATTAAAAAAATACTTGTTTAATATGTTGGCAAATTATGCAAAAGCAAAATGAAATACTTGGTCACTGAGAGGTTTTTTCTCACGAGCGCCACCTTCGGCAAATAAAGTTTTCTTCTCGGACGTTTTGAAATAAACAGACATGCAAGAGATGCAGAAACTAAATCAGCAGGTTCAATTTTAACCCAGGGTTAATCCCCACTTCCATTCGCTTGAAACGTCGACGTTTTACTAGTATTTCTCATGAGGTTGTTGAATTGCTGATTCCGCAGCTTCTAGAATCAGAATGTGGTTATCACTAGGCGCTGGCACACACCGTGGGAACCTACTGTATTTCCCAAACTTTCCACTTTGGTTTCACAGGAAAACTTTCAACAATGAAAAATAATAGTGAAATCCATACTATGGAAGTGGCGATTTCATCACTAAATCCATAGTATTATTTCCATACTATTTTCATACTAAATCATAGTATTATTTCCATACTATTTTCATACTAAATCATAGTATTATTTCCATACTATTTTCATACTAAATCATAGTATTATTTCCATACTATTTTCATACTATATCCATAGTATTGTATCCATATTACTTCAATACTACTGTATATCCATAGTATTATATCCATACTATTTTCATACTAGGCTATATCCATAGTATTATATCCATACTATTTTCATACTATATCCATAGTATTATTTCCATACTATTTCAATACCATATCCATAGAATGGAAATTGCATTAGTATGAAAATTGGATTTCCGTACTATTTTCAACTACTCAGTAAGATCCTGTACTATTTCCATGGTAAGGATTTTGAAAACAAATTCCAGTGCCATGCAATAGACCTTCCACAGTGTGTGACTGGCACAACTTTTCTATTAAAAAGTGTTTTTGTTCAAGTGCATGTAAGAAAAGTGGACTGGAACACAAGCTATAATGTACATGTAATGAAGGACTTTATCTTGGTTAATGTTTTGCAATTTCTACTATTTATAAAGCAATAGAATTCTTCCATGACACCATGTTCTACAACTGCATATTTTACAACAGTACTTGTCTAGTAGCAAGATTGTGTTCTTACTGTCGTTCCAATTGAAGTGTTCCTCAAATATTGATTCAATACATTACCTTGGGCTGACCAATTCATTTGATCAAGTTCCTCGAGATATTCATACACTTCCTAGTATAATTGTAAACTTCCTGTTGAATAGTTTGAATGCACCAATCAAATTTTGCTGTTTGTGCAACTAACCAATCATAAATAGAAAGGAAGTGACCAGAAATGATCAAATACTTGGAATTGGCTCTTTCACAGGAAGTGTATGAATATCTCGAGGAACTTGATGAAATGAATTGGTCAGCCCGAGGTAATGTATTGAATCAATATTTGAGCAACACTTCAATTGGAACGACAGTAAACTCAAAAAATTCTTATATTTTGAACACCGCTGCAAGTCCTATAACTTATGAATTACCCAGATCAACACTAGATGAACCAGAAATATCTCGTTCATTAGTGTTCATGTTAGGTATTAATGATCATATAATGATCATTTCGTAACATTTCCAACTACATAATTTTCTCCGAACTTATTTTACACAACAAAGAAATAAAGTAAAATACTTATATATGCCGTCTCACGAGACTGGGTTAACTCTGTATTTAAACCACTCACTACAAACCTGTACAGTTCACACAAGTGTGGTACCTGCTAACTCCACATTCATTCCGACATAGATTCTTCCCCGGATTCTTCATGTTCCTCCTCGGATTCTTTTTCTTCTTTCTTGGATTTTTTACTCGCAGGGGATTTTGAGGGTGTCTGGAGGGTAGAAATGGATCAATATATTAAATAGGGCATATACCGATAACAGATTGGTAAAATAAATCTAAAAGCTTCAAACCTCACCTCTTTCTTGTTTCGTTTTAATTTCTTTTTAGGTTTGTCATCCTCAGAACTACTCTCATCTGTCTCAACAAACTCCGCACTCTTGTATTTCCCGGGATCCTCTTGAGGCGGTTTTGACGACACCTTCTTGCTTGCCTTCTTTGGACTGACACTGTTAAAATATAGTGATCTAATTGGTACTACAAACATTTTATGCGTGTAAAGACGAACTATACAGATGAAATAATGGGATCTATACCGACATGGCAAATTATGCCTGATACTTTCTTCTCTGTCAAAAAGAACTACGGAGAGCGTAGTCTGTGCTACGGACAAATTGCCTTTTTTTGGCGAAGTTCGTCCTGACAGATTATTAAATTATAAATAAAAATAAATTGGGATTTCTAACCAAATATACCGTGCAATGGCGTGCATGCATATACCAGGGACCGGTTGTTCAAAAGCCGCCGGTTAACTTAATCCTAGGTTAACTTAATCCTAGGTTAACTTAATCCCAGGTTAACTTAATCCCAGGTTAACTTAATCCTAGGTTAACTTAATCCTAGATTAACTTAATCCTAGGTTAACTTAATCCTAGGTTAACTTAATCCTAGGTTAACTTAATCCTAGGTTAACGAAACATTTCAAAGCAATATTTCCAACAGCTTGTTTATAAACTTAAATAGCCAGAAATCTTGTCTTGGATAAATAGATTTTTTGTCCAAAGTTTGAAAAGAAACAGACGTGTCCAAACAATGCTTTACCTTTTGGAAGGAGCTTCATCATCCACTTTATTTTTTTTATATTCCTTCATTTCTTCTTCATATTTCACTTTAGCTTCAGCCGCGAGTTTGTTCCATTTCTGAAAAGCAACATTAAAATCGTCCTTTATTTATTTATTCCTTTATTCAAAAACCTCAATAGGCTACTGTAGGAATTTTGTGCATGGGTAAATTCCAAGTTTTGAAGGATTTGTAAGAAATGTTTGAAGGAACTAACTTAGTGTTAAACAATGAATAAGTTTAACGTTTGTTCGTTCACTGCAACCAGGTATATCAATCATGTTTCGCTCGCTACTCTGGTTTAAATAAATGATTACAAAGCCCAGTCGAATTGTAATCAAGACCCAACGTTTCGACACTCCAGTCTAGTATCTTCATCAGGGGTGATCTAAAGATAGGTGACGTGTCGAAAAGTTGGGTCTTGATTACAATTCGACTGGGCTTTGTAATCATTTATTTAAACCAGAGTAGCGAGCGAAACATGAATGGATAAGTTCCCTGAAACATTTCTTACCAATTCTTCAAAACTTCAATTTTTTTGCAAAATTCCTACTATGATCACAGAGACTTTGATATAGATGTAAACGAGGCTTAATTTGCAAAACAAAACATACTGTCTTATCATCCATAGCTTTCCATAATACTCCAGCTTTTTTAGACAGCTCTATGATTGAGATCCCAGGATTATCCTTCTTAATTTCTTCTCGTGTTGCATTCAACCACAACATGTACGCAGAGAGCGCTTTCTTGGGAGCGTTAGGATCTTTCTTTGCTCGCTTTCTCGACTTCACCGGCTTCACTTCTTTCTCTTTCTGAAATGAAAAAAACGGCCATTAGTAGTAACTTAATGTCAGTAAAATTTAGTCTTTAAAATTTGTAATGTCGGGGACCATTTGAAGGAAACCCATCTTGCTTAATTAATGGGCTTCAGTTAACGTTCCTAGCTGGGCAACAGATGACAGGACCATTATTCTGAGTAGGTGATTGTGTTGATAAATAAGGCTGCTAAGACTGCTACAGTTTGTTACAGGATGTGTGTTTTACGTACGTAGCTTGCGTGTGCTCCATGATCAGGCGCAACTCACACGGTGAGAACTAGAAGGTTGAGCTGCGTCCTTCGTAGTTCAGCTTAGCTCTCAGCTGCAAGTAAGGATGATTATAGCACACTCCCACTCATTAGCCAAGCATTTTGATAAAATAAAATAATAAAATCACCTTTTCTTTCTTTGCTTTTTCTTCGCGAGCTTTCTTTTTTTCCTCGGGAACTTTCTTTTTTCCCTTTTCTTTCTTCTTGGACTTGCCTTCGTCTCCAGAGCCGCCAGACTCGTCCTCGCTCTCCGTGGGTGATACATCGCTAGCATATCTAGTTAAGATGTAGAAGGGTTTTGTATAGATAGAAATTTCGGGTGTGAATTTTATACTTTGCTTAGACCTAATATTTCTTCAACAGAATACATGATAGTGTTGGGAAAGCATTAAGAACAGCTAACCAAGCTCTCGTGACAACTCTCATACACTCTTATCCTCGTTTCATGCGAGCTTTAGATTTAAAAAAAAAATACGCCCTGGTACATACTCTTCTCTAACTTCTTTATCCTCTTCGTCTCCAGGATTGAAAGACGCGTCAGAAGCATCTTAAAAGAAATAGAATTTTTTGCAGAGCTATCATTTAGGAAAGGTGTTTTCCAACTGACAATGGTTTTTGTCAGATGCAAGCAGAGGGGTGGGGAAGGGGGGCAACTCCCCCCCCCCCAATAATATCTTAAAGCGTTGGAATGAGAGATGAAAACTGGCACGACCCAGAGAATGGTAACTTTCGTTGTTGAGGTTCATCATAGATTAGGGAAAAATTGACGAGCAAATGCGCATCGATTTATTTACATAAGATGTTGAAGTATTTTAATACTTAGACGCCCTAGAAATAGTGAACAGAAACACCCATACCCGTGGGGAAACGGCTAGAACGGGTAGACATGCTGACACCAGCAAAAAATGGTAAAGAAAATGGCGATACCAAACCGGAACTGGGGTATCTCTCTGCCCGTACCTTCAGAGTCTGAATCATCGTCATTCCTCTCAGCTCCCTCAGCCTTCATCTGTTCCAGGTACGCGTCATGTTCTTCTTCGTCGGACCCAGAGTAATCTCCCGACGTTCTCACTTTTTTCTGCAAAACGAAATTTGATTTCAATGTCCTGCTTGAACTTTCTTTGAAATTAATTTGAAGCTTCATGGATAGTGATGTTTTCAACCTTTGTTAAAATACCTGAAAACCACAGATATGAACCCCGCATGTGGTATAAAACCTTTAACTTATAAATACTGAACTTTAACAAGCTTGAAAAAATCACCATCCGACCGTATAAAGGACGGTAACAATTTGAATACATGCTTGCCTTAATTCCTTTGTTCTTAATTTTGAGGTTCTTCGCGCTAACAAAGTCAAACAACTTGCTGTATTCTTCTCTATATTAAAAAAATACAGATGCAAAAATTTACTTTATATTCTTCTTTCAAAGAAGAAAGATTAACCTTGTGCGACTTACTAATAATTCATGAAGAAAACACAAAAGAAATCACGAGTGTGAAGGACTTTGTATATCTGATACAGAAATCATGCTGATTTACATAAACTTTAAGTTCAATTTCCTCACCAAACATCATTCATTTATTATAGGGGTGCACCGGATTTCAAATCCGGCCGGAATTGATTTAACCAATTTTCCGGCATCCGGCCGGATTTGGAGAAAATCCGGCCGGATTTAAATTTCTGTTTTCACCATAAAAAATTCACCAAGAATGGGATAAACCATCAATTTGGCAGCTTTAAAGTTTAAAAAACCACTTATATTATTATAAAATATTAAGTTATTAACAAAAAGATGTTTAAAAAAGGTTTAAACACAATCAAAAATCTAAACTGACACTAACTAAAAATAGTAAAAAACATAAACCGTCATTTTGAATACTGATTTATCCCCAATTGTCCCCATTACCGGTTTATCTCAAATCCGGCAAATCCGGCCGGAATTTTTGTCCAAATCCGGTAAATCCGGTTCCGGCCGGATTTGAAAATTCCAAATCCGGTGCACCCCTAATTTATTATAAAACTATTGAAGAATACGAATGTTTTCACCAAGACGTTTCACAAGCCATATTGCAAATAAAGCTCATTTTGTAAATACACTAGTACATCTAAGACAGTAATTTGCATTAATCATAATATTCCTGTCACTTACTTATCAATACTGCTGAAGGTAATGACATTGCCATTCTTGTGTTCCACTTCAAAATCAAAAGATCTGCTCGACGTCCCGCCCCCGCTTTGCACACGAGCAAAATTGACGCAAGAGATTTCATCAAAACGAATATGAACTGGAGGTTTGGGGACGAACATGAAGCCTCGTTCTAGTGGGTAGAGGAAACCGCTGCCAGCTTTATAACTGCATGATATGTTGCTGAACGACCCATTACTAAATCACAAACAATGTTTTAGTATAATGGAACATAGTCTGTCAAGATAGGATGGTCTGGAAACCGGGCAAACTTCAACAAAATAGAAGACCTTTGTTTGATGTTGAACTGTACCTCACAGGGCTGCAAATTACTGTCGGACATCGGACAATGTCCGACTAAATTTGGCAAATGTCCGAGCAAAATTAGTTTTGATCAGACATTGGTCCGAACACAAAAAATTGTCACATTATACATTTTTTGCTGTGACAAAATCCGATTGCAAATTCACTCAATTTGCATTTTGTAATAAAATTTGCGAGGCATTCCAGCATTTTGCTTAACGTTGCGCCGGTATGGCTATACATACTTGTCTCGTGACATACTTGTCTCGTGTTTGCCCGACCAAATCCAAGTTATGTCCGACCAAAATTAGAAGTGATCGGACAAATGTCCTGTCAAGTCAAGTATTTATTTGCAGCCTTGCCTCACCCTGTACAAATCCTTTGACAAAATTAATAGTATATTGTAGTCTAATTCTTATAAGAACCCAAATGCATCTACAACATTGGTATTCACTTCTATAATAAGAACAATTTCTCTTCTCTCTCTCTCTCTCTCTCTTGTAAATACATATATATTCCTTTAATATTGTGATTGACTGTAAATAATTTATTACATAATATAATACAAACTAGCATAACTAGAGACCTAAATAAAAAGACTACGAAGATTTCTAGTAGGTCTCTAGCCCGCACTCTACAGATATTGTAAATATACTACACATAAATTTATTGTACATGGGGAAAATTTTAAAAAAAACTTCATTAAATATTATTCATCGTGGTTGCATGTTTCATCTCAGCTATTCCTATTGGACAGTTACTTCATCATACGAAAAAAACAATGAGCTTAATCACCGTGACTGTGCACAAATTAACATAAACTCCGACAAAAATTTATCACACAATGACTTCTGTTAAGTTTCCAGATCATCATATCTTGATAACTAGGACTGGAACCTTTCAAAATTAACAATAACACTATAGATATCAAAGGTGTACGGGAGGAAAAAAATAGGGTGGCTGACAAAAATTTTCCCACCAAGTCATAAACTTTTGGAAGCGTCGTGTTTCCCTTTGCCCGATTTTTAAGCAGAATTGGCCGATTGCAGGCTACACGAGGCTACAACCTTCACATGCGTCCGGCATGCTAAAACAGGCAAGCATGAAAACGAGCTCATTGGAGCAAAAGTGAAACTAGCAGTAAATTCTATCACGCAAATACCTTTTAAAAGTTCCAGGTATCGTAATTTTTCTTCCTGTGACTGCTTTAACAAGCCTGCTCATTACTTCATGTATAGGACCATTCATTTCAGATGATAATTTTGATTTATATTTTTCTGTGAGTTCCTCCCTATGCAAAAAAACATAGTCAGTGGAATGTGTACAAACTGCTCCAAGATCTTCGCAAACTTCAGATAAAAAGATCAGTGTCGCTGATTTCAGTGGCCAAAAGCTAGATAGTGTCGCTGATTTCAGTGTCCAAAAGCTAGGTAGGGTCGGGAACCCAGATATTCTTTCTTGGCTAATGGTCAAATTTTGATGTTGGCCAGCTGCATATTGAGAAGGCTTCAACTACCTGAAACATACAAGGCTCTTGAAGTTGAAAGAGCTCGAAACGTTGAGGTTTTACTGTAATATTCAGGTAGTTGAATGTCTCGCAATCTGCAAATTTTCTGGCTTTCTTCTCACTACCTACAGTACACTGACACAGACGGTTTATTTTAATGTTACTCTGGATTCTCCCACTTAAAATGTTAACTATTTTCGGAGTGTTTATTGCTTTGTTCTTTTTAAAATTACTCAATGGCAACCGTAACTTTTCTCACTTACTCTGTCAAGTTAAGTTTCGCCTCAACTTCTTCATCTTTGTCAAAACGAAAGATAATGAAAGGATATCTTGTTTGGCCTTGTTTAATTGGTGGATCTGTACTGATCTAAACAAAACAAGATATTTACTAGAAACTCGTTATTCAACACATTTCTCACACACTTAACCCATTGAGTTACATTGCACACCAATTAATACAGCCTACTTTATTTTTTTACACTGTCTAATGCCAAACAATTTTACTCATCAAGGAGTACTGGCACTCAATGGGTTAATATATTCATTCTGATGTACAGTATGATACTGTATATATTGCTTCATTTAATTTGCCACAATAATGTTTCCACAAACACCACCATTCTTACCACAAAGAATACAAATCTATTATCTCTGTGAGGTAGAAGAAATATTCTCAAGATTGTTGTATAAGGAATCTTGTAGTCGTAAGTTTTGCCATGAAGTTGTAAGAAACTTGGATAGATCTTGGTCGTATAACGTCCTCTAGAAACAATAAAGATGTATGAAGTATATATACAGAAGCAGGACCGGCAAAAGGGGGCCCCCAGCCTGCATACAGGCAGCATCTAACCTTGGTGTTAATATTGTAACTTCTTCAAAAGTAACAATTGCATCTCCTGTCGCTTGAATGACGTCAGCTTGTGCAAGAACTTTCTCATGAAATGTCTACACAAATGAAAATATATAATCTTACTTGATACAGCAAAACATGTTCTGATCTATACACATAAAAATCTCACAACTTGTCAACAAAATGTGTTCGCAGCAGCGAACTTGTCAACAATGCTGTTATTTAATCAAGTTGCTACATGTCACAACTTGTTGACAAATTGTTTAATTGCAGGACGATAACAAGTTGCTGGAACAACTTGTAACAAGACTGTTGAGCTCAACAACCTTGTCAACAAGCTGAAAACAACCAGTGCGAACACATCCTGTTGACAAGTTGTTGGAGCAGCATCGCTACAAGTCTGCTGCAAGTTTGTTACAATCTCACCTTCACTGGGTCAGCATCAGTGCCATCGTTACTTGGAGGGACATAAAATCTCATTTCCATCAATGCAATCTCTGCATCATCATGTTGATGGAATTCCAAAGTTACTTCATTCTTGCCTAACAAACCCAGAGAGTTTTGTTTTGTCTAATACCAGACATTTCACTTGGCAAGCCTGGGCTACTTCCTAGGTAGGGATAAGATTAGATCACCTGAACCCAACCTTAGGCAGGTATAAAAGTTGCACCGGCCGGTGCTAATCTATGCTTCAAGCACAAACATACAGTATTTTGCTCCGGGGGAGGGAGGGTGTGTGTGCTGGCAATTGAGAAGAGAGAAAGAGAGCGAGGTGCACAGTCATCAGTAGAGACAGGGTTGGGGGTAATTGTAAGAGGGCAAAAGCGCCCAGGAAAATTTTAAAGATTTTTAGCTTATTTAGTTCAAAATCCTTCTTTGAATGATACTACTGTACTTTCATTTAACCCAATGAGCATTTAAATTTCTAGGGTGTGTATGCAAATTTCTCTAGGTGGCGTGGGAATTAAACTTTTGAAAGGGGTGCAAGATATTGTGTGGGGATATGCACCCCCTACAGCCCCCTAGAAAATCTGTCTATGGCTTCCAGTCGTGGTTAGGGTTTTGCTCAGGTCTATATCTGCCTATTTAACATATACCTGTGGTAGCGGAAGAGACATCTTTCAAAGGAATTTCAAAAGCAGGTTTATTGTCAACATCAAAACTCAGTACAGAATCTAAAACAAAACAGTTCCGAAAAGCAAGTTTAGTTCAATTATTTGATCTGTTTTTCACACATAAAAATAAAAATTAAAGCCATTTGTTTGGAAATTTAAAATCATTCATATATGCAATGGAAATATGTGTCTCAGTGTCTGACCTGTAAACTGAGTGCTGCCCCAGTTCCAACCTTTCACAGAAAGTTCAATTTCCTCAAGCTCTGTACTGAAGTTACTTGAGATAAAGTTTGAAATTTTATCAAAATCCTGCAACAAAATTAAATCATGAAAAATATCATTAATAAGTTGTATTACACCCTAATGAGCACGACTTTATTATCAAGGACATAGCACTGGTGCTCAATGCATTAACCAGTTAGCCCATTGCGTCCCAACGCAGTTTCTGTCTAACAGCAGATAACTTTACTCCTCAAGGGGAAATTGTTGCTGCTCAATGCCATGTTTGTACTTTGCCAAAATTGCAGATGATCAGATAAAACTATCAAAACAGCAAGTCTGAAACCAGCTTAACTTCTTACCGATTCTTTAAATCCTTCAAACTTGAACTGCGCTCCAGTGTTGAGGATAAACTTCACTTCATATCCAAATGCAACTTTCATCCATTTTACCGAGGCAAGGTCACTGGAATTTAACTGTTCAACTTTTCCTGTCTTATTGTTTTTGAACACTACACCATTTTTATGAAGTTTTAACTTGCCACCATTCTGAATGAAAGAAGAGGGTTTTTGTCAAAGAAAGTTTTGAATGGAAGTTGACGCACCATTTTCAAACCTATTAACTAGGAGCAATTGTGAAAAATGCAACAACAGGCTCTATGACAGGAGTGGAACCTGCAGCCCGGTGATTCCAGTACAGTGCTCTAACCCAGGTCTGCAAATTATATATATATGCAAACTAATAATAAAAATTTTAAAAGGCAGTTGTCAAAACATGTATTATATTACATGTACAAATGTACAAATGTACAAATGTATAAATATATAAATATCAACAGCCAGCTGCAAAAAATCTTCATTTATAAATATCAACAACAAACAAATATGAAAACTTGTTTTTGTTCTTTTTTATTCACCCAAATTACATTAATATATATGTACAAATAAATCGTAAAATAGAAACTATTTACATAGGGCTATACTAGGAACCTTCTAGAAACCATAAGGCTTTTATTTAAGGTCCCTAGCTTTTATTTAAGGTACTTCAATGTAAAGTAAGAATTTTTATGTTTCGAGGGCAAGCCCCTTCTTCAGAAAAACCGCTATATCATCTCTGTCTCTTGCTTAAATACTCTAACATTTACATATACATAAATTAATTAAACCTCTTCCTTCAAATTAAACCCACGTGGCACAGAACTAAGTTTCTCAATCCAAAAGCTCTCTCAGTGGGTTATTAACGTCAGTGACGTCAATAACCTGCACTAAAAAATCACTTAGACCTGAATGTCCCTCCTCCCTAAAATGGCCATACAATTGTTGCCCACAAATATTTCTCTGCCCACGCCCATATCTATTTAATGCACTCTTGTGGTTATTAAATCGCAATCTGAACGGTGTTATAGTATTCCCTACATATTGTAACCCACAGCATTTACAACTAATCAAACACACTATACCCTCCAAGTCACAATCGAAGCGATGGTTAATGCAGAAAGACCGCCCCTCGACATGGCTTTTAAAGGTAGCACCAATAATGACATTGTCACAGATTTTACATTTCTTTTTTCGCAACTTAAACATGCTGTAAATGTTGTCCGTTTTACTTATTAAAGTATTGAGCACTTTTCTACCTTACTTCAACTTCACGACTATTCTCTTAAAAATAGTCTGGGTGACACCAGTATTAAGGTATGGTACCCCAGCTTGTGGTTAATGCTCGTCAACTGGACTCTGTAGCTCAGTTGATTAAAGCGTTGCATCAGAATCGCAGGTTCAATTCTTGCTAGAGGGCCTATATATAGTTTCATTTTTCGCAACTACTCCTGGTTTGAAATTTCTACAAAAATCCTCGAGCTGTTTTAATATCAACATATAACCCACTACACGTGTTTACACCAACATGGCAGCATTTTGTTTTATACAATGATAAACAGATTGAATACAAATTTAACAAATATATAGCATTAACTTACCAAACATCCTCGAACTAGTAAACAAATATCGCTAAATTCAAGTTCAGAACTCATTTTAGAATTAAAACTTTTATCTTTCCCAAGTTTTCTTCCCGCCGTCCCGGAAAACTGAACTTCCACTTTTGTTGTTTGCATTTTCATTAATGACGCGGCCTGGAGGTCTGGGAGGCAGTATGAGGTAAAATTTTGTCAATCATTTTGCAAATATCAATTGGTATAAGATTTTAATAATTTTAATAAAAGGGATACAAAACTCTCTCTTAAAATATTTTAATATTTTTCAGATATTTTTACACTGCACAATAAAATTTGTTATATACAGTAAATTTTGAGTTTTACAGGAAGTGATATGTACAGACACATTATCAACACAACATTCATACAGTATTCACATAAAGAAATAGTCAAGAATACTTCGGTCAAACAAGGATAAGAGACTTGATGAGAGTTTCCGCAACGCGCGCGTTAATATCCACTCAACTCTCATGCAACTCTTGTTCTCGTTTGACCGGGCCATTACAGTTGTCTCAAATTTAGCTACTCTACATATAGTTTTGATCTTTCTAAAATACCCTGTTGCACCTTGCCCCGTTAAAAAGAATACGATAAACTTGACGACAATGTTACCACTTGGCTCATTCCTTCTTCATCCATAAACGCCACCACGCAAATCTTTCACGACCCATTATGTTGTCTGATGTCATTTGACAATCGCCAGTGAATGAAAGACTCAGCCATTGAAAACGTACAAGTTGTTGTCAGAAGGCTGAGGTCATCTGCACCATCAAATCTCAATTTGTTTTAGCTTGGTTGCAATATTACCAAACGGGTTGGACCACATTTCTCTCAAGTCACCCTGAATAGTGAGGAAAATCATCGTAAACTCCCGAAGAAGGTCGTATAAAGTAGTATATCAAATACACTTGCTCGAAGTCGGCACTCTCTCATTTTGGGGTTATGTAAAAAATGAGGAGTAAACATGCAAAGAATGTAGGCAGCACTTACATTTAAATATCCAATGACGAGTAAAGGTAGCAATGTTGATGGCACCAGGAACAGCAAGGCAGGTTGAGCTGACTTATACACTTCTGATACTATAGTGGCTGTTAATAAACCTAAATCAAACATTAAGATCTATCTAAGACTGTGTTTACACTGGCTTACACTTATACTTTATTTATACTGGTTAGCTCTGTCAGTTGTAAACCTCTAGAGGTCTGGGTCATCTCGTATTGCTCTAATATTGCTCCACATGCACTGAATGTTGTCATGTGAAGATATCGTGCTGACTTCCGTGTTCAAGTACATCACAGCGTGATAAAGCAAACCAATCGTGCTCACCCAAAAGTATGTCGGCTTCACGTTACAAATAACGTGTTCACGTGAAACGTTCTTACCTAGAAAATATCCCACAAGTGAACAGTGAAAATATTTGATCTTGGATTCTTCGCTTAAATTTGTGGCCGTTTGACGTTTGTGGTTGTCAAAACGTAATACAAATGATAAAAGAAGACCAGGCATCACCTGAATATGAACAAATGTTAGTGTTCGAAAAACATTACTACAAATACGTCTAAATAATCAATTACTTTAACTTTGCGTCCCTAATTAGCATATATAGCGCAAGATTTGTTTTCACAAAAAAATGTTTTAAATTAATAAAAAATATTTGAAAACAGGCATTCTTACAATATCTCCGAGTCCTAACATCGACATTCTTCCTCGTTCACTGTAGCTAGAAAAGAATAAAATGCCAATTCAAGACATTATTCAGGAAAGAGACCAAAAACTGTGTGGAAGAATGATTAGCTAAAGATCAAGAACAGCTTCCACAGACATCTTCAACATTGTGGACATGATTTCATTTTGCCTAGCGTTCGTTTAAAAGAACTTTTATCAATAGACGCCTTTTCAACTTTGTAATTTGAATAATGATACATCAGATTACTTATAGTTTGTAAACTAGCACATTTGTTGTTTAGTATTTTAATAATAAAGAATAAAATAGTTTACACCAGCTGGGTAAACTTATACAATGATAAACCAGGACAAATATTTCTCACCTTGGAAATACAAGTTTTCCAGGTAATGAAAGATGTCTTGATGACGGCACTTCTTCATACGTTGTTGATCCTATTTTGTCAGCTACAAATGATATCTACAACAAAATGGTACTATTCAAATAATACCAAATGGTTTGATCCTGCACGGGTATTGACAGTTATTTTCGAAATTTTCCATAGTGAAATTACAACTAAAGACTGTATGAAGGACGTCAAATGGATTGAATCAACATACTGGATTGTCTGCTGGTTGAGTTGCTACTTTCACCATGACATTATCTTTAAATATGTACACTGAAAAATAGACCTATACAGGAAAGATATAATATGTAGTAAAACTGTGCCCTACAAGATTGAAATGTTTTTGAAAAGAAATTTAGTCTTACCCAGAATACATCATAAACAACTAAGCCAAGTAAAAGTAAGATGGAAACTTTCAAACTTGGAAGACGCAGATATGCAATCATCGATATACAGAGTCCCATTGCTAATGCTAAAATAGAAGATATTTCAACATATTACATTATGCCCAAATGCAGCCTCTGTAATGCCAGATGGGAGAGCATAGCTTCTCATTCATTGGGTTAATTAGACTAACTGCTCATGTATTTAGTTTAGTTCCATTCCACCCAAATGTGCAAATGATTTTACTCTGTCTAATGCTAGATGATGTTATTTGTCAAGGAGGGGGGTCTGCTGATACATCATAAACAACATTAGACAGAGTAAAATCATTTGCACATTTGGGTGGAATGGAACTAAACTAAATACATGAGCAGTTAGTCTAATTAACCCAATGAATGAGAAGCAATGCTCTCCCATCTGGCATTACAGAGGCTGCATTTGGGCACAATGTAACCCCAATGTTATATACTGATGACTCACAACCAACAAAGCTACAAAACTTTATAATCAATTATAACAAACCATCCATCAAAATCCAATGTCCAGTCATCATCCACACCATAACAAGAGAGAGAGAACAAAAAAGAGCAAGAAGTTCTGCCTGAGTGAAACGACCACACGTCCCAAATGATACTCTAAATAAATTGAAATGATATTCTAAATGAATTGAAATGATATTCTAAATGAATTGAAATGATATTCTAAATGAATTGAAATGATATTCTAAATGAATTGAAATGATATTCTAAATGAATTGAAATGATATTCTAAATGTATTGAAATATATTCTAAATGAATTGAAATGATATTCTAAAATGATATTCTAAATGAATGAATTGATGTTATTATTATTATTCTAAATAAATAAAACAATTGCAATTTTTACTCACTTGCAGTTAGGGTTGGCAATAGGTCGTAAAATATACTGACACAATGGCAAGAGAAGAAATGAGAAAGCTATCGTACCTAAAACTAAAAAAATCACAATACATCAATATTTCTATGCATACAGTATGAGCCACTGTTTCATCTGGCTTTTATTTCACCTTTCAACACATACCTACTGTGCACAAAGCAAATATTGATTGAAATTTGTCAAAGAAGAAAAACATGAACAACAAGGAACATGAAGCACCAACAGGAAGCAGCATTGCTTGTGTTGAACTGATTGTGTGGAAATCTGGGAAAGAACAAAATATTAGGATCACAAGTGGATGTAGCTGCATAACAGGGAAAATAAAAGATCATAGTGATACCTGATGAAAAACTATGAAAAAACAAGAATGAAGGTTTTGATGCATCATTCTCTGCATTTTCTTCACTCTCTGCTTGCGCTGATGTGTCCAAACCCAGAGATCTGAAAAACACAGTTGAACAATTATTTCATGCACACCTTTTGGACCATGGAGTACCAGTATCCCCTTGACAAGTAAATTGTCTGGCATTAGACAAAGTAAAATAATAAATTATGTAAAATAAGGAGCTTCTGGTGGTGTCTAAGAGAATTATTGATTAAAAGTGGGAATAGCCTGTAATGAACTAAATGTCTGTGCTAGTGTAGGTAGTGCCAATAATGTTAATAATGTTAATAATTTTGTAATTCACTGAAGGGCTTGAATCCGGGGTTTTCCATTAATTTAATAATTAAGAAATAATTAAAATTTAATCTGGATGATCGTACAATAAACTAAATTAATGTTAATAATGTTAATAATGTTAATAATGTTAATAATTTTAATAATGTTAATAATGTTAATAATGTTAATGTTAATAATGTTAATAATGTTAATAAGGAGAGTTTTGACATTTCGAAGGTCTTCCTCTGGAGCAAGTAACCCCAGACGAAGGGCCTTTGTTTGAAACGTCGAAATTCTTCTCATATTTTTCAGGAAGTTGCATCCCTACCAATGAAAGCTTGTAATGAACTAACCCCAGCTACCTCTTATACACACCTAAAACTAGCACAGATCAAGGTTATCTCCTAACTGAGGTAACCCTACTGACAAAGCTCTACCTATGATTTATACACACCTAAAACTAGCACAGATCAAGGTTATCTCCTAACTGAGGTAACCCTACTGACAAAGCTCTACCTATGATTTATACACACCTAAAACTAGCACAGATCAAGGTTATCTCCTAACTGAGGTAACCCTACTGACAAAGCTCTACCTATGATTTATACACACCTAAAACTAGCACAGATCAAGGTTATCTCCTAACTGAGGTAACCCTACTGACAAAGCTCTACCTATGATTTATACACACCTAAAACTAGCACAGATCAAGGTTATCTCCTAACTGAGGTAACCCTACTGACAAACCCCTACCTATGATTTATACACACCTAAAACTAGCACAGATCAAGGTTATTTCCTAACTGAGGTAACCCTACTGACAAAGCTCTACCTATGATTTATACACACCTAAAACTAGCACAGATCAAGGTTATCTCCTAACTGAGGTAACCCTACTGACAAACCCCAGCTACCTCTTATACACACCTAAAACTAGCACGGATCAAGGTTATTTCCTAACTGAGGTAACCCTACTGACAAACCCCTACCTATGATTTATACACACCTAAAACTACCATAGATCAAGGTTACGTCCTTATTGAGGTAACCCCACCTACTTAGCTATGTTTTATGCACCTATCAATGTTAACCCCCAGAGGGGGGGGGGGGTATTTGATCATCAATTGCATGCCCATCCTGGGGATTTTGATTAGCATTTTGGCCCCGAGTTGGGGCAATTTGAACCGAATGACTTTTATTAACATAGTATTTATTGCAATTTATTGCAAAATGGTGGGGCATTTGACCAATATTTATTGCCTGACGGTGGGGCATTTGATTGAAAATTTGCTCAAAAAATATGAAATGCCTCACCTATGCCCGACCCCCCCCCCTTTGGGGCTTAACATTGATAGGTGCATTATACACACCTAAAACTACCATAGAGCAAGGTTACATCCTCACTGAGGTAACCCCACCTACAAACCCCTAGCTATGATTTATACACACCTAAAACTACCATAGATCAAGGTTACGTACTCACTGAGGTAATCCCACCTACAAACCCCTAGCTATGATTTATACACACTAACACACCTAAAACTACCATAGGTCAAGGTTACGTCCTTACTGAGCTACCCTGGACATCTACAACCCCCTAGCTATGATTTATACACACCTAAAACTACCATAGATCAAGGTTACATACTCACTGAGGTAATCCCACCTACAAACCCCTAGCTATGATTTATACACACTAACACACCTAAAACTACCATAGGTCAAGGTTACGTCCTTACTGAGCTACCCTGGACATCTACAACCCCCTAGCTATGATTTATACACACCTAAAACTACCATAGATCAAGGTTACATACTCACTGAGGTAATCCCACCTACAAACCCCTAGCTATGATTTATACACACTAACACACCTAAAACTACCATAGGTCAAGGTTACGTCCTTACTGAGCTACCCTGGACATCTACAACCCCCTAGCTATGATTTATACACACCTAAAACTACCATAGATCAAGGTTACATACTCACTGAGGTAATCCCACCTACAAACCCCTAGCTATGATTTATACACACTAACACACCTAAAACTACCATAGGTCAAGGTTACGTCCTTACTGAGCTACCCTGGACATCTACAACCCCCTAGCTATGATTTATACACACCTAAAACTACCATAGATCAAGGTTACATACTCACTGAGGTAATCCCACCTACAAACCCCTAGCTATGATTTATACACACTAACACACCTAAAACTACCATAGGTCAAGGTTACGTCCTTACTGAG